GCAATTGGGGAAGATACGCTCCTTCAGCGATGAGTGTTTCTGGGCTTTAAACTGGATTTAATATTACTTAATAGGATTTAATCACTTTTGCTAATGCTACCTATGTTATATTATTTGAAACAATTCAATTCAACACTATAATATAGTTTAAAATAAATACCTATATATAAATATGTGTATTATATATAAAGATATTAACATGTTGCTTGGGTGCCGATCTTTATCCACCCACCGTGACTGTTTTGACCCAGGTCTCGATTGGATCGAGAACATCCGCGACCTCAGCCTGAACGGCGTGTGGCATCTCCGCAGCACCAAGCAGCTTGGCTCAGCCTTCACGGATGGATTTTAGGTGTTTCTTTTCCAGCGTGGCTTTGAGGGATGGGTTCCTGCTGAGTTGATTCATATTTTTTCAATTCACCAATGGTCGAGGAGCTTCGGATTGTTCGGATCCTACTCTGGGGGTAGCTGGATTTGCAGCATTTTCCGAAATTGAAGGGAATGTAGGCCAAATTCCACTGGATTGATTCCCAGAGGGAGACCCGCATCAGGATTCGGAATTGTTCATGTCGTGGGCAGTCCTCTCCATCAGTTGAGAGGTGACAAAGAAGTATAGATAGCGAAATGTATCGGAGTCCTCCCAGTTCATCAGATCCTCCAACATACTTTGAGCTCCGCTGGGCTCCTTGCGACCCTGATCTATTTGCTATTCATTCTCATGTGTGGTTTGTGTGCAAAGAGATCAAGAAACTTCAATTTGTATTTGAACAGTTATCTTAGCCACGTATTTGCACACGAAGAGATGCAATGTTGCTGCAAGACTATCCTTTGATATCGGCTGCATCCTTTGAGGTTTGCGGTTCACCTTCAACATTTTTGAGTGTTAGTGTAATGTTTGGTCTGTTTTGTTTACATGCATGTTTCTATATTTTTCCTTGTTATAATATACATATTTAACGGGTGAACTGATAGGTCACAAGGTGCAATCCTCACATCCTCCTCCATGAAGTCGAGCTGTTTTTTTCTCGGGCTCAGCACCAGAGCCAACCGTTTCAGATATTGGGATGACAGCGATGAGCTCTCGTTGCTGGTGGTGTCGCGGCCTCAGCACGACGCCACTGACTTGGTGGTGCGAGCTGCGGTCCGAGCTCCGAGCGCAGGGGAGTGGTCCGACCATCAGGAGATTGGTTGGGGGATTTGTGGTCGCCACTGATATGGTTCGAGCTGTTTTAGAGGTCATCACAGGTAGAGGAAACTCGGAGACCTTTGCGACAGGGATCCTTCCGGAGACTTCATTTAGTCCCGGAGGTTCCACCGAAAGCCCGTTGAAAAAGCGACTCAGGCTCCGAACAGATATCGCCAGATGGTTGCTGCTCGTCAATTGTTTTAGTGCCATTGTGCTCAAGCTATCGTAGCTTTAGTTTAGTAGCGATGGCCTCCACCCTAAGAGTGATGGGCTCCACCCTACTAGCGATGGCCTCCAACCCCAATAGACGATGAAAACACTCAAATCTCAGGAGGAAATACGTGGACAACTGGGAAATCTTAGAGCTTCAGCAAGGCTTCGCCCAATCCGCAGGAGAAGCAGCTCGGCGGAAGGGATGGATCCGCCAACGCGGCGTCCCATACGTCGAAGCGAAATGACGAAAACCATTCGTGCCTGGGGTGGTCCAGCTTCTTGTTACTACTAGTAAGGCACTTGTTTCGATACTAGCTTCTTGTTACTACTAGTAAGGCACTTGTTACTAGTAGCGATGCACTTGTTCCTAGTAGCTTCCTACCCCCCCGTGCCTGAGGTGGTCTCCTATATCACGCAAATGCTGCGCAATACCATTCGCTTTTTGGAGAAGGTCTACACCTACGACCAGCTCCGACTGCACCAAGTGAGCCTTTCTTTGGAGAATGGCGGATGGTCATGGCGCTGGGTGGGCCACTTCTATTTTCGCCGACCTGGTCGGCGTGTGAAACGGCTTGTGGTGTATGTTCCGCTGGGAATTGGTCTTTTGAGGGTATGCGGTATCCCATTGAAGCTTTGCTAAAACTATATAGACCTCAATCTTTGAGTGATGTGGGCGTTTGCTCTTTCCATTTTTGCCGCTGTGAAACGGACCTCTCCATTTTCCACTCCCTTTGCGCAGTCAAGGCCATCCCTTTCAGACATTCTCTCAAGACAGTTGAAGGATCTCTCTTGGATCCCTCCACAGTTTGTTTGGATGGCCGTATCAACTATAGTGTTTTGGCTTCCTTCAAGACGTGATTGAAGCTTGAAATAAAACATCCCAAGACATTTTCTTGTATAGCAGAGGATGTTGGAGTGGGAGAAGGAGGGAAGCTATTGTTCTTTTCCGCCGACTGCACTTGGACAACTACATAAGCACCTACGATAAATCTCAGATTTCTCCAGATCAGTACCATGCCATAGATTTCTGAACTGCACCTACGATAAATCTGTAGCTAAGTGCATCGCTACTAGGAACCCGGGCATCGCTACTAATAACAAGAAGCTAGAAGCTAGTAACAAGGTGCATCCCTACTAGTAGGGACGCTACTAGTAGCAAGGTGCCTTACTACTAGTAGCTTTAACATCCTAGTAAGGCACCTTGCTTGTAACAAAAAGGTCAGACAGTCCACAGATTTCTCGCAATCCCAGGACGCGAGACTCGCAGAAATGGTTCGCGCCGATCCTGGGCATGAACTCGGTGGACGTGTGAGGAAAAATGAGGAGTCATATTGAACTGAAAGACAAATGACCAAAAAAGTCAAGCTCACGCTCAGATGGTTCAATTGAGTGTGAGATATATAATGACCAAGCATTACCAAGGCCAAAGATGGAACTCCACATCACTCTTTCTGATTGTAATTACTAGGGTTCCATCCGCTTCATGACCTGGTGACCTGCGTCTTGTTGACTTCGAAGTCAACATGCGTCAAAAGCTTGGCCGGCCAAGTCCTCATTTAATGAATCTGATGATCATCCTCGCTTGTTCGGTAATGATTGTCCTCAGCTCATATATATATATATATAGATAGATAGACCCCTCTCAACCCAGCAGTGTAGGGAAACCGATTCCTACACTGAAAATATGCATGATTTGGAACGTTGACGACTTGGGACTTATCAGAGACTGGAGTCTGACATTGCTGCAATATTGCTGATGTTTGCTGATTCTGAGAGGTCACCAGGCTGGATGGAGTAGAATCCAGGGCTTTCAGTTGGCACTGCCACGTTGAAGTCTGGGACCTCAATCACGGTTGGACTCGTCGAGAGATTAAGGAATTTGAGATCACTGTCGCGACACCTGATGTTTGAGTGGTTGTTAAGGTTCATCAGCCTATGAGAACCTGTGTTTCGAGCCACTATATGCAAACACCAACGACATACTTTTTGAGGCAGAGCCAGGCACCAAAGCCTTAGAAGAACACATTGTATGGTGAAACAGGGTCACCCATCCAGTTCCTGTTATCACCAATAAGATGTGACTCAGGATCGACGAGGAGCTGCTGTATTTCCAGGATGTCGTGGATATTTGGCATGAAGACTTTCCCATGAGCTTCCGCGACCACTTTGGCGAGAATCAGGAGCTGGGTAGGGACTGGACTCTGGAAGTGAAATGAAGCGATAGGACACTATACAAGTCAACAGTGCATCAGCACTATACAACACCGTCACCATCATCACCATCACCATGAGCATTCTCAGGAGCATCATGTGGTCCTCCTCACCACTTTGCCCAAGTAGAGAGCGCAAGTGAAAACACAGCAAAGTTTTGACAAGAATCTCAAGTGCTTGGCAATATTTTAAGGCGAGGCATACAACTTGTTCTATGTTTTGGCTGATTCCGGTGCAATCATTTGCAACCATCAATTCAGAGCAATCACAAGTTGCACAAGAAAGTGGGCAGAGCACAGATATATTATGTACGTCCCACTGCTTGACTGACCTGTACACCGCAGATAAACGACTATACTATGCAATCTATCAGGGAGATGATGCAAAGGTCTAGATTCCTGCAGGGCGTTTCTATTCAAAATGAGCCTTCAACATAGCCCAGGAAATTCATAGCACCACCGTGCACCACCAATGCATGAAATTGGAAGGGTCTGACAGGACGCCAGCTGTCCTATTTTGGGGTACTGAGATCTTCATCCGGCTTGTCGACTCGGAGAGACTCAACAGGAGGAATTCGACAAGTGGTTTGCTGAGCGAGCGAAACACAGGCCTTCAGACTTCTACACTGTCGCTCGGAGGAAGCTTAAGGGCCACAAATTCTGGGGGAGCGGAAGGAGAGAAGATCGGAGAGAGGGAGCCTAAACAGTTTTTGTTCTTGCAACAACAAGTAGTAAGTCGTTTTCCCCTCTAGTTACTGTACGTGGAGAGGGTGGCCTGTAGATTATAGATGAGTAAGGTCAAATCAATCCAACATCCTCCATATCCTTCAACTGTTCATTCCATGAAAACGAACATGAGTTTGCTCTGAGTCTGACGGGTCCTATCTGTTGTGCCTTTATGCTGGGAGACGTTCCGTCATTCAGAGGACCGCTTCTGATACGAAGGCATCACTGGCTGTTTCATGTTTCTGTTTTGGAGGTAATGACTATACATAATGGATATATATATATATATACATCTTGGAGATCAAAGTTTAGAAGTGTTTCATAGAAGTTAAGTTAAAGGGGAATTTAACTATTGTGCTGGTTTGTGCATGTTTTGCTTGCATGACTTCAGTTTGGAGATGCAACAACAAAGGTATTTGTGAGGACAGTGAGGGTGCTTGTGCAATGAATGTGTCTATGTTTGATAAGAAGATTACAACTTAATCCCGTCGCTTCGCGACGGAAACCACCCGCACCGCATGGTGGTGGCTCAGGTATCTGCAGTAGGAGTAAGCAGATGAACAGAAACATCAGCAACGTGTGGGAAGACCGGATGAAATAATGGAGCAGCAAGGGTTGGTAAGAGTTGATTTATGGAATGACCTCGTGCTCTTGGAGCCGAGTGAGAAGTATTCAGTGGCCCACAGAGTAATAGCAGTTTTGGAGATCAAAGCAATGGATGGCGCCGTTGGACCCGCCTGTGCCAACTGTTTGGAGCTGAGTTGCAACATTCCAGCGACAGCCTTGGATCAGATCTGATCGAATTTTAGTGCTCAATAACCGAGGGACATAGTTAATATTCAGAAATTATACAGCTGGAGGAAATGGTCCCACCATTTGTGCTAAGCGCATTGAAAAATTCAAATCTGCTGGATTTGTTCACTCTGGATAGTCGTAGTGTGAGCTTGATGCCAAAGTCGAGGGAGACTGCACCTCGAGCTATAGGATTTGACGGCTTCTTGAAGGGGAAGACACTATGATAGATGGGATGACCATGGCATCATGGCCATTGATTCAGCATTATTCAGTGCCCAGTGTTCTCGTAGGGCCCGTGTCAAGAAAGCAGCTCGTGCTCTTGGAGCCGAGTGTGTGGCGTATAACCGTATAATTGGCAGTGTGCATCTGGAAGATTTGTACCCAGCATTCCAAGTTTCGGAGCTGTGGATGACCCATCTAAGCTGCGTGAGGGTCTGTAGGGTGGACCGGTTTGTGGAAGTGGCCAGGGAACCGAAAAAAAATCTGACAAAGAACTGTCACAATGTGAGCTATTCCAAGAGGTGGCTAAAGATCAACTGAAATAATGCGCTTTGTGGGACTTTCATTCACCTTTTTTGATTTTCGGCGCTTCGCCCAAAAATGAGAAATTAAACCAGAATCGACATTAGTTCTATCATTTAAGTGGCAGCGTGTGACGCACGCTTGGAGACCAACCTCCCAAGCTTGGCGATATTCTTCTGGTCCACAGTAGGCGTGATAGTGGATTCTGTACGCACCTCCAAGACGGTTCTTTTCAGTTCCCTTTCCAGACCCTTCTTAAGAGGTTTGCAAGCTTGATGGACATTGGCTAAAAGGGCGATTCTTATCTATGGCTCCGCCTCCTGCATCCACGCATTGCTGTTTTGATATTTCACGCCGCGCATTGGCAAACTGCGATAACAAAAATATAATGACCTAACATGACCTATTATTTGAGATTTATGTTGAACAACGCATGCCAAAAAACCTTCATCATGAAACCATTGAGTAGACAGCTACTTGGGCTTCATGGTCCCTATCTGGAAGAGACGTGCTTTAGATACGGGCTTTCAACGCGCGAAGGAACATCTCCACTTAACCCATCTAGAGTCTGTATTTGAAAACGGGTTGCAGCACAGGTGTTTTGGCAAGGACACATGAAAATGAACTGGCTGGCCGCGATCCCATTGCAAATACCGATGGCGAGCAGCCAGGCGGGAGGAAGAGTGTTGACAGAAATTGCGGCGCATTGTGATGTGCATGGTTTCTGACCTGGCGCAGGTTTACCGAGGCAGAGCAGGACTTTATTATGTTGATTGTATATTTGCCGGAGCATTGTCGGTGGCAAGACCTCGACCCAGCAGATTTGGAAGAGCTATGTCAGGTTCGCTATGGTAGGCATGACACAAGTGCAGTTCTGCAGACCTGTTCGCATTGGGAAGTTACATGCACAAACGTGACAAAGTGACAGGTGCTGGGCGCTGAACCATCTTGTCCCTTTGGGGCACAAGACCCGGCAGCGGTTCGCGTTTGGTGCGGGTCTGCCAAGAGCGCAGATGCCGCCAAGGAGGTGGTACTTGTCTGGCAGCAATGGCGTGCATTTGTCTATCTGCAGTCACACTAGGGACGGCGATAGTGCGCTTGACGAAGCACGCTTGGGCTCGAGCATTTGCTATAGCATTCTCGGTGTGCATCAGGGACATGGCCTGGTGCCCCGCTGCTGGCGGTTTTTGTGTTGCCATTGGCGTTGCTGCCGCGGAATTGCCTGCTTTGCGACAAGACCTTCAGCAAGCGCAAAGCTTAGCCATCGTCGTGAACAAACCATCTCAGGGTGGCGGTGGTGGCTATGCCAAGGCATTGGCCCTTTCGAATCTGATAGGCTCTGAAAACGAGTGTCTATACAGACTGCGCTCAAGCCAGCTTCGCGCTTGCGGGAGCTCGGCAAGCGACTACTCGCAGGCCAAAATTAAAGAGGGCAACGTTTTCCCTGAAGCGGATGAGGAGGGTCTGGATGTACCTGGCAGTTGGCCATGTTGAGCTCATGCTTGCCATCGCTTGCCTTTACCTTGATTGAACCATGCTGAACAAGTTAGGTCCGAATTCGCCTCATTTGGTGCTTATCTTGGGCTCTGTTGGGCCAAGATGGGACCCTCTGTTGGGCGAAGATAGGGCCTATGTTCAGCAACTTGCTGGATTTTAGGCCGCTGTCAAAACGTGGAAAAACCATGATTCTAGGGTCTAGAGCAAAAACGCCCCCTAGTGCTAAAGCTAATAGCTAAAGCACGCCTTAAAAAACTCGAGCGCCCATTGCCATGGGATTTGGTGAAGGTATCCAGGCGATGTCGAATCCTTGGCCACTTGGGACAGGTACACGGTACAATCGTAAAAAATGGGGTTCAAGATGTTCTTCATGAGTTTTGCATGTTTTTGCAATGTTTTGTCGGGTCGTCCAAGGTCGTGAAATATCCAGAGGCGCGACAGATGAGCTGCAGCGCAGCGTGGACCGCGGTTGCGCGAACTTCGCATCTGTTGTCGCCAAACGAGGACGAGAGACGAAGGAAACTCACAGGAACGATCTGATTCGTTTTCGTTCCTCGAAAATGCAGGCGATGACGCAAATCGAGAAGGAGAAGGTTCAGAAGTATATGGGTAGCTACGGTCATTGGAGGCCGGTGAGAGATGTATGGGATGCGAAGTTTCCGATTTCTCGTCACTGAGAGCCAAACATTGTTGGAACGGACTGAACAAATCTCACCGGGTTGGCCCCTTCTGCCGTGTCGCCCTGGGTGTTTTTGATGTTTTTTGGACTCCCAGGTTCGGCTTCAGCACTGAAGAGGAGTTGATTCGATCCTTGCGAAGTGGTCACTTGAATGCAGTTGGGGAAGGTGAGGTGTTGTCAGCGTGAATTGCTGGGTTCCGCTGTCAGCTGGGATCCAATGCGCACTCATATAGCGAGCAAAGACGCCAAGATCGTCAAGTAAGAGAGAGACAGAGATAGACACACAGACAGACAGACAGACAGACGGACGGACGGACGGACGCACCAGCCCAGCCCAGCCCAGCCCAGCCCAGCCCCCAGCCCAGCCAGGTAGGCAGACAGACAGACAGACAGCGAGAGAGAGAGAGAGAGGGAAAAAGAAAGAGACAGAGAGAGAGAGAGAGATTTGATCTTCTTGTAGTTTTCCTTCTGGATGCGCCAGACTGAAGTGTTTTTTCTTTCACAGGAAATGCCTGGAGTGCAAATTTCATTGCAAGTGTCAATGTATGTTGCACCTACCAGACGAATGTTTCCCACACACCCTTCAGCACTGTACAGCCCCGCTCTCTTTGGTTGCCTGTGTGCGTGGCCTCAGCCGTGGTGCTGATGGAGCAGTGCTACATTCTACTGGATGCCGCCTTGCTGATGATGAGCTTGCAAAATTTTGCTAGCTGCTCGGCTCAGTAGATGAAAAATTGTATTTGTAGAATTCCGAACGAGATATGTTTTAAAGCCATGTTCTACAGAGTTAAGATACAGGCTAATTTCAACTGCGGGATCACGTGGTGTTCCGATGGACATCGCCTGGTTGATTAGTCGAAATCGCTCTCACCTTCTTGTGATCGTGAGGCTTGGGTGGCACCAACATGTTCCTGGCTGGTCAGGTGCCGGAGAGTCGGGATTCGCAACATATTGTGGTTGCGGGCGAACATTGGTTGGCTCTCCATCAAAAAAGCGGACTTGGAACGATTCCAATAACAGAGGCTCCCAGGTTTTTGGATCCCACTTAGAAGTCAGCCCGAAACTGCTAAAACCGTCAGGTCTCAGCGGAGGATGCCACCCAAGTCCTTGACTGGATCGACAAAGCCGTCCGGAGCCCCCGGAGTTGACGAGCCGTCGTCGCGCCGTCGGGAGCGACGATCCATGTTTCTTTGTACGCACTATGTCACTATGTGGGCAAAGTAGGACAGTTGGGGAAAAAATGATGCTTTGAATTGTTGTCAATGCTTTGATTAGAATGCCTCCGGCTCGCTGAACTGGGAACTGGTTCCTCGGTAAGACAGAAACGGCAATGTTTGCTTGGAGGAGTGTCTCAATTTATATGTTGACCCCCCCAATGTTTGCCCTCAGAACAGGCCGAAATGCTGTGACCAAACCAGGTGTGGTTGTATTTTGTTTGTGCGGAACCGACCGTGCAGATCGACCGACGGTTGGTTGTGGCACAGCGAATCGCCGACAGGTGCAGGAGGTGCGTCAGCACATCGTGAGGATTGCCGACATTGGTCAAGGTGATCCTCCTGGGCGGGTGGAGTGCGATCCCATCGTCATCCCCAAAAGATGTGGTCCTAGAAACGAGTGATGACACACAGGGTACAACATGGTACAACATGATTGAAAAAAAAAAACAAACTATATATGTTGAGCTACCTGCAGCATCCTCCAGCCACCTGAGTTCAACCTGTAGTTACCATGAAACGACTATGTTTCTGTCGCTTAACATCGACGTGCATGAGTTTGTTGATGGTCCCATGGTGTTGGTGACCCAACAGAGCCTAGACGCGAGATAACCCGAGTTTGCATTGAGCAGGTACAACAGGTCTAATTTGACCCAGGTCCAAACCTCCTGAAACCCTCCAAGTCCACCCAGACTCCCACCAATCCGCGCCCGATGCGCACCAGTCCGCCCATTTGGGTACCGTGAAACAACCTGTACAGGGGGCTGGTCGAATTTGCGCCGGAAGAAGAAGACCAGCTGGTTTTCGCATCCAGGCTGGGGATTTGTTCAGACCAGCCGCCGTTTCCGGATCTTGATTCTACGAATCATCCGATGTTCTGCCATTGTTATATATATATATATAATTAATTATAGATATATATACATATTGTATATATATATATATGTCATTGGAAGTGGCAATCTCAATCATCCTGTTTTTCCTTCTTGATCAATCTACACTTGAACTTTCCACCGCCGTTTGGAGTGTCCCTGAACCTCACCTCGACATGCCATGACTTGCCGGACCACAAGGTCCGCTGGATAACATGCGCTTGGCCATGAACATTGAGGAGAGCGGAGACCGCTTCCGGTTGGTAAAAGCGGGAACCAACCTCCGGGTTTTCCGAAAACAAGTCCTGATCCACAGACTTGCGTTTGAGAAAGACGTCGGGAGATCTTGGGACATCCTGAGACCAAAGACAGGGTGAAACAGAACTCTTGTCATGTAATTAGTCATCGTGCATGGATTTCAAGGTACCAGGTCAGATCAGACCGTTGACAAGGGCAAGCACAGGAACCCTCTCTCGGAGACAAACAAGTGAGCTTCCGGTTGAGACAGCCTCTCAACATAGGTTTCAGTTTCAGGACTAAAATAATCTAAAATCATCTAAATCTAAAATCTGTTCGGAAGACAGATGAACACACACACACAATTAAGAGGACACACTGACACACATTTCAAATTTCAAAGGCAGGTGGTTGTTAATTACGCAGTTACGCATGGTTTCGCCACAAGGACCATATTGAGAGGCTAGCCATGAACGAGAGCGGAACTATCCGCGCTATGTGGCTGGGCTGGCAATGTGGTGGATTGTGTTAAGTGGGTGGGAGCACATGTTTTGGCTTGAGGACAAAGGCGGCTTGCAAAAAGGTGGAGCGGCGGTTTGATGCAAATCAAAACCAGAACCTAGAACAGGGCAGAACAGAAATGGTGGACAGCGACTTGCAGCCACTTATTTTTATTCACAACTGCTGTAGCAGGATGATTGTGACCCACATGCCACCGATTTGGAGTTCCATGTTTGAGCGCCTAGGAAAGCACATCTGAGTAACTGTCGCGTCCAGAAGGGTGGATTTCCCGAGCCTCTTGGCGAACGCGATCGCGTCTCCGATCGCGGACGATCAGACCGGGCGAAACTCAGCATCGATGGTCAAACTGATTGGACTCGCCAAAGGGATCCAAAGGTGTTAATATGACATAATTATAAGTACTCATGGTGTATTATATATACAGTAACTAACTATAGCTGATAGACTCTCACAGATTATCATAGAAATCCCACTTGCAGCGTGAAGTTCATCATTTTGCACGGGTCCTTTTCCCTGGTCGCGGTCTTCGCCCTCGCCCAATGTCAACCGATATCACACCACGGCCGCTAAGGGATGAGCTGTCCAAAGAGCTGAAGTGCCATGGCTTCAAGAGCTGAAATCACCAACCGATTCGACGGTCTCGTTATGTCCTCGGTGATTCGGTCGCTTTCGGCTTGAGAAAAAGGAAAAAAACACACACCCCAGCAGGTCAGCAGGTGAGGCGTTGCAGGTCGGAAAGGCCTTTTCCAGGACCTAGCTAGTGCAATAGCATATAGTAGTTAGTAGCCTTAGTTCATCAGATCTTTGCTTTGTCAAGAGTGAGTTCCACAAGACCTAAGCAGCAGTGAGACATGTCGACAGCAAGTTCCGTGTGGGGCTTCACCGCTATTCGCCCTACTCAGGTATTTTCAACGGCACCTGGGCCCAGATTGGAAGCGGCGTCAAAAGACGTCTTTTCCTCCGCAGGAGGTCATTTTTTGAATGGATGGTATAGTAAAGTGTGTAAGTGTGGCAGTCGATTCACGCGGAAAGGGATGCAGGGTAGATGCTGGTCAGTCAGTCATATGATGGTTGTAGGGTACATCATGTACTTCCTCGAATCCTGTTCAAGGTCTTGTTGCATAAACCATATGAAGATACATGAAGCGTCTCAGTAGGTCACTGAGCGTTTTCATGTGTTTTCTGGCTTTCCATTGTTTTCTGCTGAACTTCCATGGTTTGTATGTTGCCAGTCGCTGCCCGAGGTTTTGGGAGGCCATCAGCAAGAAACATGGGATCGATGAGGACGACCATCAAAGACCCATTCGTTACATTTGAGCGAAAGAGAGGTTCCGTGAGTCGGTCGGGGTGGTCGTATAGAAGTAGTGAGCCCAGTTCCATGTTCGTGGAGATGAGTGGAGCTTCTGGGCCCCCCCCCAAACCCCGCACCGACATGGAACTGCTGGAACCTATTGATTCTTCGTCTCACTGGAGGGTAGGGTGACAGGAGGACACACCTGTCAGCAGTTTGTTGGAGAGCATTGTTTGTCTTGGGCCGAAGCAGCCCACGGTGCACGACTTGTCTATCTAACTGCTGGTCGTCAGCCGACGTTTGCAGTTCTTCAAAGAGAACAATGTTTCTTTGGATGCTAGGAATCCCGGGAAAGAACGGGGATTCTTGTGCACAGCCGTAGCTAGTTGTGTCAGTGGCGCCCCTTGACAGAGCCGCGTGCTTTGTCTGAGTTGTTTCACTGGTTCAGTATGGCTTGATGCTCTTAATGCTTTCTTTTCGACGTCACATGGCATGCAGAGTCACCGGGTCGTGAACCGGCTGAGCCGGGAGTGACATGTTGGCTAGCTTCGTCCGAAGCTTCAAAGGGTGACCGCGGGAGCCTGCGGCCATGGAGTGCGAGTCAGCTTCGGTGACCGGCATCAAGCCATCCATTCCTTTTGGGCATTTTTGTACAGCACGTGACAGACTCTATGTATGGAATATATACTAGCACATAATACTGTATGATATAATATGTATATATATATATATGCATTTATATATGTGCAATACATACACATACTTATAGTGACCCCTGAATCACCCCCAAATATTCCCTGTGTGGCGTGTTTGCAGACTGGACAGTCTATGGCAGAGGAGGTTCTTGGGGTTGCTGGTGAAGAATCTAGGATGAAGACATTGCTGAAAAATCCGCAAATTCTGTGTTTCTTTGTGGATGATATGTTAAGATGTTGATCAGAGTGCCGGTGCAGATTGTGCCTATGCATCCAGTATTGGACTGTACAAATTGTCCATGTGTGTTCCTTTACAAACTGAATGACCAGATGCAGCAACGGCCAGGCTTTGCGTTTGGTGCTACGTGGCGTGCCTAAAAGAGTTCAGAAATTGCTCGGCTTGTGAACACTGCACGAAGGAGCTTGCAACAGGCACTACACGTGAGGGAATGTCTCAAAGTAAATACTCTCCTAACCCCCCAACACAGAGTTGTTAGTCTATATAATCACTCGTTTTACTCCGTTCCAGTAGTTGGGGTGAGGTTTCTTTCTCAGAAAGGGACCATGGGGTGTCCTTTGCGTCTCTTCCCAAGGCAGCTCGGAGGGAAGTGAGCCAGGAAGCCTAGCTTTAGCAAGGTGTACATACTTGGAGGTGGGCAAAACTGGAAAACGACATCAACTAAGCGTGTTCACCTGTTTGTGACGACAACAACAACAAGAAGAACAAGAACAACAACAACAACAACAACAACAATGTGGTATCAATAGGAGACCACAGAGCATTTGAATGCTTTGAAGAACCGAGTTCCTTCGGTGCAAGTGAGGTTGCAAGTTATGTATCAGAAAACTATAATAGTTGGATATAGTTGGCAAGTCTTGCTTTGCCAAGTGATTGGAGTGTTTGGACAGTTCTACACACCATGGTTGCTGTACAGCTATATTCCAAGCTTACTGAAGTTCATTGCTACGGACTTAGACTGAACCATGGGCTGACTCCGAGAACAGTGCCTTCCTGGTAGCCATAGAAGGTGCTAGTGCTGTTCCAATCCCCAAAAGATGCCCTTTGCACAACAAACATGGAAGCTGCCGGAGGTCGGCTGGGATGACGATGAGGATGATTGTTATTATGATTATGATTATGAAGATGAGTATGTTTTTGAGAGGAGTCTTTTTGGGGAGGGTATCCGTTGCTGTGTATCCTTGGAAAGGGGCATCAAAGCTTGGATGGTACCCTGTGTTTGACTATGATTGAGCCAAGGGACAAGGCCAAAGCGGCCAGATCGTGCCCACCCAAAGTCTCCTGCTGAGGCCCACCTGGCTGGCGGAGCGGCTGGGTGACCGATCTGGGCAAGATGAGGTCCGTGACGTCCAATGCGACGGCCATGAGGTTGAAAGGAGTGTGAGGCGTTTGAATGCGTTTTGACTGCATGGGGGAATATGGAACGTTATGCGCAGGTTCCTTTGGAAGTTGCCGAAACGTGTAGCCAGAGGCTCTCTCATGCCTACCTTGCATTCAAACAACAGGCAGCAGTGCTTTTGTGCTTGAATACTGGGCGTCTTCGCTGGCGCATGCCGTAAGTCTCGCAGCAGTTTGTGTTGCAACCTTCGATCCTGTGTAGGTGGCCCTGGATTTGGGCGCATTGCCAGAGTGCAGGTGGGAGCAGCTTTTTGTTGCTGTGACTCATGTGGAAATCCACTTGGTTCGTAGAGGTACTCACCTGAAGATTAACATGGAACCCCAAAACCACTGGTTGGTAGAGGAAAACCATCTTCCAGGGGACCATTGTGAGGGTCCATGTTAGTTTTGGGGAGTGTAACATGAGGTAACCACAGTTTACTCCTTTCAATGATTTCAATGGGCTCTTTTTTTTCGTCCTCCATGTTATTCCCCAGATCATCAGAGCAGTCTGTGCTGACGAGTCCGGGCGACACGCCCTGGGGCCAGGGCAACTGAGACCTTGGGCATCTCCACCAAGGGGCCTGACGCAGGAGGCTCGTGGGAGATCGAAAGCGATCCCCAAATCGACTGCCTGGCGAAGGCTTCGATTGTTCCCTTGGGTGACGAGACGAGCAACTCACAGCCGAGATGTCAAAGAGCTGACTCAGTTGGTTTGAACATGTGTGAAGTGTGAACCAGTGACTATTGGATCTTGTTTGATCCATTGAAGGAGAACTTGAAGACATTCCTTCTTGCAAAGATCACGTGCCAGGAGAAGTTCGATCTTCACCATCTAGGCCAGCCGTTCTGCCGGATTTAGGTCGTTTCCACCAGGTCGCGTTGGCAAGCATTGAGCGATCCAAACATATATAGTAGAAGCCCGGGCCCACATGGTTCGTTTATGCATAGAAGCGCATATTGCTGGGTACAGCCCCAATCCACCCAGTTCACCTGGGCGTTTTCTTGCTCTTGAGCCTTTTCATCAGGTGTCGCTTGGCACCTTCGATGGCACAGACCTTACACCGGCAGTTGGAGGCTTTACCAGAAGGACGGTTGCAATGGGTCTCCTCACGATTTGGAGATGCGCCCCGGATACTTGGAACCTGGATCCATGTTCAAGCCCTGCTGTTGTGGTGTTACTTACATGCATGTAGCTTTGAAAAGGTACCGAGAAGATCTTGGCCGAATCTGACCCCTTTCATGCCATTTTAATGTATATAATGTATTGCTGAATATGTCTGATCATAGAACATACAGTCATATATATATAAATACATAGAATCCTGCACCACCTGGTGGAGCCTCCAAAACTGTACATGGTAGGTTGTTGCCCACCTCAGCTTTGGATGAAGACGCCACGTTGTAATTCACTTCAACGTGTCAACAGTCGCTGGAACCTCCCTAAAGAGGCAACCATGAGCGAACCAGTCCTTCTTTGTGATCAAAACTGCGTTGGTTCTAGCACCGGAAGTAACAACTAGACCTTTGCCTTTCTTGCTACTGATGCTCCCAACACGCTTCTTGCAGCCTTAGGCTACCCCGACGTATGTACGGACCATTCGTTTGATGACTTGCACAGGACCCGAGGAGATGGCTGCATCAGCGAGCAGCTCTACTGAGAAGTTCTGGCGATGGGTTTGGGGCGCCTAGAAGTGGTTCGCGAGAGGGACCTGCAAGGGGGACTCATCCTAGTTTGATCGGCTTGTTGTTTGAAGCTTCAACCTACGTTCATGGGCATTGCTGCGTTCAGAGCACAGGTGTGATGGATTTTCCACCGACCTGTGAGTCTGCGTGGCCATTTGTAGAAGTCATGAACAAGAATGCACCTGTGCCAGCTGGAGCGGAAGATCATTGGGTTACTGAAGGGAGCCATTACCTTTGGGTCAGCCTGAAAAGACCCTATACTGTCTTGCCGGATGACGTGACTTCATAGTTTGTGGATGTGGCCGTGGGTCAAAACCGGGCACCCTGGTTGACCCCTAAATGAACAGATCCCCTAAAAAGGGATGTCAACCTCCAATGGTTCGGTGAGGGAGGTTTCACAGCCATGTTTGTAGGACTATTGAACAATGCTGCCTTGTCGGCCCAGCTAATTCAATTGCAAGAGGAACGTATCCTCAGGATGCAATAGCTCTGAACCACAGAAAGAGGTAGGGCGCAGGTACAGGCGCAGGCATGACTGTCAGTAAACAGATGTAAACAGGGTCAATTCGGTCACTTGAAATGTCAGTGCCACATTGACATTGGTTCAACCAACCAAGTTCTGTGGCACCAAAGTACGGTCTGCACTGATTGGACGTTGAGGCAGAATCAACATGAATCAAACAGTTGCGAGGCAAAAGTACAGCAGGGTCGCAGCAGCAACAACACGTGCCATGCTCTATCAATGCCGTTTTCCATTGTGAGCTGATTACTCAGGCATGGTCTGAAGGTTTTTTCGAGTGTTGTACAAGCGTCAGAGAGATGTGCTCAGACCGCACACCAATGGGGGTCTTCCAGCTCAAGTCTTGCTCCAGCTTGTGGGTTTTATGGTACTGTTTGGATTAAAAAAACAAAGCTGTTGAACAGTCGAGATGCTCAGTCGTTTCAACTCGCTAGTTAATAGCCGCCAGTCTCTGGTTGTCCGCCAGAGAATATTTCAGAGTTACACTCCCTGAGCAAGCCATACCTGAGACTCACTCGGTGGTAGTGGCGGGAGAATATCCAGATATTCATCCATGAGGTGATTTCTGTAAGTATAGCAGCTGTACTTGCTGTATAAAAGATGTTTAGTTCACAACTGTGTGATACTGCCTAAAAATTATAATGACCATTGAAGAAATGCAAAGAAAACACTTGCGAGCTTAAAAGTGCACAACCTCAACCTCAGGATCCTCAATGCCTCACACATGCAAGGTCAAGAATTCTCGCTGATGGAGCGCTTGAATCAAGAGTACCTTTCAGCGACTGGTCACACAAAATACAAAAAATACCTGGTGAACGTGGCTGTGAGTTGGAGGTGCGGGAGTGTCTAGAACCACAACTGCAAGAGACTGGTCAACAACACGACCCATATATATATATATGACCACATGTAGGTTTGTAGAGCATTGTTGAATGATGTTGAATGCACGTAGAGATGTAGACTGACAATAGGCTTTTAATCAATGAGTCAAGCCTTTTGCTTAGCTTCCAGTGGCATGACCAATGATTAATATGGGGTGCACATCGCTTGCTTCGCAATCAGAGCTTGCTTCGCTTCTCCCCGGCCTAGGGGCGCTTCGTGCTGACAGCCCTGCATTTAGCCGTGACCGCGACTGCTACTTCAGCTGCATTTGGGGTCAGCGCCAAAGGGCCTGAAGGACCACATGAGACCTAGGGACGTAGCGGCTACCGTAGCAGCTGGCACACGGTTTTGGCACGAGCATTGGGGGCAAGGTATAGGCTCACCAAATGTCATTAACATTTGCCAGTCAAGTAATCAACAATCAACTTCTAATGTCAACCGCCGCTGGAGCACCTTGTGGCCCCTTGCAGGTTTGGTTTGAAACCATCCGATGATCTCAGCACTTGCTCCTCAGCTCTTTGTGTCATCCAGGTCCTTCGTGGACGCTCAGATCATGTGCTTTTTGCGCTGTCCCCCGGATGTCTTCAACAAGCCTTGCGGATGCCCAAAGCATGTCGTCAGGCGATGGGTGCCACATGTGTGGCGACCTTATGAAAGAAAGAAGGAAAGACCACTGATGGAATGATAAATAGCTAGCTATTGAGCACACTACATCAAGAATAGAAGTTGCTTACACTACATCAAGAACTGTGCTACTCGTACGTATGAGTGAGAACAACATGTGACGATCTGCAAGTCCAATAGACCCGCCAACAGACTGTACAGAGGACCACAACAATCCTAGTCCAAACATCGACGATTGCGACGCCAGGGGACTTGCGCCATCGCCGATGAGCTTTCTGCCTCTTGTCGACAAAGCTGGCAGGCGGGGGAGGGAAACCAGCATGAAAGTAGGTACATTGATGGAAGATATGGGAAGCTGAACCAGTGCCAGAGCTTAACATTGCGGAGATAGCTTCTTTTTCTTTGGAGTAAGTACTGAGGCTTGCGGGACATAATTTGCCTGAATTGATAGTGTTCTCAATAACAAATTAAATATATATCCTCTCAATTTGTTTCTTGATTCAAACTGTCCTTCCACAGTAGGATGGACCTTTCGACTTGGAAGGCGAACGAGGCGATCTTCCAGGGAGAGCTGTCACTTGGCGCTTTTTTGGTGCCGTTGCCGGAAGCTGGAGATGGGTGCGTATTTAAATAAGGAACCCTCCTGCGGGAGGTCTCCCTATCTGAGCTACACACCGGGATGTCAAAGATACAAACGTTTCATGTAGTAGAAAGAGGACCCCCAAGAATTGATAGAAATGGTGCCCAATTGATGTTTGGACTATTGGAGAGGACCCCCGTCTCGATCTATTTTGGAATATGTTGGGATTGATGTGGTGGTAGTAGCGGACCTAGTAGTGATAGTCGTGAGGGATTGGAGCTTCCTACAACACTGGTCCAGATGATCGGGATGCGCCCAAAGGCAAAGGGGTCAACAAATTTCCGAGGAAGATTTGGAAGGCCCCGAAGCATACAAGAGATGCAAAAACGGGCAGGGTCACGTGAAACATGCACTGTGGATCACTGTGGTGTGCTGAGCCATGGGAGGGTCACTCAAAAACAAATGCATACCCTCCTGCAGGTTTTGCAAGGGTCTATTTTGATGGTTCGTGTTATATCTAGTCTGCGGGACCTTTCTATATAAATCATGTAAGACGAATCTGAGAATCCTCACCGGCGCCTTTGCTTTGGCCACAACTTCTGATCATCCGATGGCCTCTTCAGATACCTTGAATCGTTGTTGAAGACCTCGGTGTACAAAGGGTTTTATCAAAATCAGCAAACTGCCCTTAGAGCGATATCTTTTAACATTGTTTAGAATGCTTAGTATCAAGGAATGGGCTTTGAGTTTTAGTCCTTCTACCACTTCTACCAGCAAAGTTTGGGAGTAGTTTGGGGATTCCATGAGATTTCCTACGTTGCAGACAAACCCATGTGACTGTCACACAACTTCCATTTGGCTGCACTCAGTCTCGATCCCACCACCATGCATTTGTTCAACATCCATTCCTCGTTGCAGCTTTCGCTTTAGTGTTCAAACCGACTATGTGCTTCCTTTGCTTGTGATTGGATCTGTGGACAGGACGGCTGCGCTGGCCTTCTTGTCCCTGGAGTTGCTGTCCATGCTGACAGCTGTACATACTTTTCAGGCCGAGGCGCGCTGGGGTTTCCTAGGGTAAGTGACAATGACAATTGATTGAGGCAAGGCCAATCAGTTCCAACTAGATTGAGAAATTCCCAAACTTGTTCTTTGGACAGCAATGAAAGGGACGTGGGGGCCAATGCACTGCATCTATGCAACTGTCGTACGCATGCCCGACTCTTGAACCTCCCAATCATATAACAAATCAAATCCATTCAAATCCGCTAAGCACAGAGCAAATATGTTATTTTTGTTGCGCGCAGAGCACATGTTGATCAAATAAGATGTGCAGGACGTGAATTTCATTAGTGCGGTGCTGCACGGTGGTGGTCTGGAGCCCAGTGCTCAAGGGATGGAAAAAACATGAAAAACATCGGTCAGCCGCATCTGTGCAAGGAAAGGAAAAATCAAATCCTGGGCGTCCAGGAAAGATTGGCTGTTCTATGTTTGTTTGTTATGATGTATGTTTGTTGAAGAACTCTGAAGGTGCCGCAGCACTCGTTCTATTCATCGTGATGCAGAAGCTCTGCTGCAGTTGGACGCATTGCAACTAGCAGAACTGGCATCCAGTAACCAGTGGGACGCTGAGAGTACCCTCCCTTGAACCTCAGCAGTGCTTGATAGCCCAAATGGATGCTGTAAGCTGCTCAGCCTTGATTGGCACGGTTGGCGGACTCGAGCGATCTCGTGTTGAGTTTCAAGGACTTCATGTGCCTACTTCCATGTGGTTTTTGCCCTGACCAATGTGCTGCCCTTTCTGTGCAACGTGGCCGCAGAAGTGACATTCTGGCTTGGTTTGATTTATATATATATATAATTAGTCATTTTGAGCCACAACCATATTGAAGATCTCTTGCAGAACTGACTGCTGGATCAAGTTCTTGGACCCTTGACACCTGCAGCGAAGTGCCCCCTTATATCGCCCTCAGTCTCTGGTCTATGAGAGACTTTGAGTGTTTAATGTTGCCACATGTGGCCACCTTGGCAGGTGACCTCAATATTTGGTGGGCCGTTCTACGTGGAGCTCGCCTGAAGCGGTTTCCGCCACCTGAAACGGAGTGAGGAGCAAGAAAAAGACTGGTGCAGCCGAGAGTGTACCACTTGAGAGTTGACATGTTGGAACCGGTGGAGTCTTTGGGTTCAATACCTTCGACTGCGAGAAGCGTTCAAAAAGTGTTGAAGAGCGTGTTTGAGATGTTTGCAGAATTTGCCGGGCGGTTCAACGGCCTTTTTTGAGCGAGCGCTTGGTCAACGGCCGCCTTTTTTCCCGTGAGCTTGGGCCAGGGCGGCTCCAAATGCTTGCTTGGCGCCTCCACCTAGTAGCGTCCTTCTTACTAGTAGTAAGGCCAGGAGCGCCCCGTTCGTAGCGTCCGAACGATCCGTTTGAATGCCCTTTGTTACGTTCGTAGCTTACTGGGTATGTTCGATTGGGCCCCACCAAGCTTGAGGCCGGGGCCGTGTCCATGGACCGCTTGCAGCGCTGCACGCAGCTCCGTTTGGCGGCAAAGTGCCCAATGGGCACGGACAACGGTGGGGGAGCTGTAGGATTGAACATGGACATCTACCCGGGTATGATCATAATCATTCAACACCATCACCATCACCGCACCATGTTCAATGAGCATCGTGAAGTGCTCCAGTTTGTGAAATGCCCTTCTTGCATCTTCTTGCTATGTTGAATGCGTGGATTCGATGAATGAAGAAAGGATACATTTGTGTGATGACTACTGTTTTGGTCGTAGTTTCCATACGTATAATATATTCAAGATGGAGACTCATGTCCCACAAGCTTCTCGAGCAAGGTTACATTATAACTAGCCCTGATTGTTCATACATTATAACACTGATGGTTGTTGATACACTATATATATTATATAGATTGTAACCCTCGTAAGTCAAGAACATGGGTTTGCATGAAAGCTGACAACCTCCATTTTCCAACACATTTCAGTGTGCAAGCGTGGCAAACTGTTTGGAGACAGCCCCACTGGTTGAGGCTGACCCCGCTTCATCGCTTTAGAAGGTACCCAAAGTGGGCATTCCATGCAACGGCGTTGGCGAGGCACCGATATGAGTTTGGTGCATGCTATGGAGCCATTTGGTGTGTGGCATTATTGGTGGCTTGATTGGACGCAGATATACTATATTGTTGTTCGCTTGACTTGATTCAGGTATTGAGGGGTACCAGGCGGATGCCACCAAGTCCCTCTTGTATTTTGTTCAGCATCTTGTATGTTGTTCAGCTGCTAGACCAGGAGAAACAAGCGGCTTGTTTCATAAGTAGTCATAATGAGCCAATGATGCCAACGCACCGCGGACTTTGAAAGCTAAAGTGAAACGGAACTTTCCTGTTTCTTTCCCTCAGAAAATTACTGACAGGGCACAATGACCTGGCATGTAATTATATAACATGTTCATCACGTCACGGAATGTATGAAGCAGATTTTTTTCCTGGAATAAGCATGAATAAGCGTACCCATGCATATCCCGGAATCACTGTACTTATAGACCATCAGCATGTTCTCGAGCAAAATCAACGGACGAAGCGTCCCAGCGACCGACAAACCCACGGGGGGACCAGCGAGTGAGGCCTTTGCGAACCCTGGACACGCCGCTCCTTCAGGCTGGACGTCGGGGCTCGGATCACAGAACAGATGCTACACTGTCTGAGATAGGAACTTTAATACCATAATACCTAGTTAATGAATGAAAGAACTCGTGAATGATTGACTTGCTGAATGCCTTCATCAGCACCTGTCAAGTCATCATGAATTTGCCATGGATTGGATGTTCAAATGGTCCATTGGTCGTTGGTGGTGCTTTCCCACGATCCTGCTGGTTCCAGTGATCCGCTGACAGCAATAGCACTGTTCCAGGAACTCTCGGCGCCATCCTCGAGGTCTTTAGGCGCACTATGGTGACAGACGGTCGACCCTCCCATAGCATCGAGCAGAAAGCGGGAATCATCGCTCAAATCAGACCTGCAACTTCCGCGCTTATTGTGTCTTTTCTGAAGGCCAACACAGGCGCCCACTACGTATTCCTTTGCCTCTTTGGTTTTGAGGGTGGCCAACATAGACGAATTAGACCGAAAGTGCAGAACGTCATATGGATTGTGTGCTGCTCACTTCTGGGATTCTTTACTCCTGAACCTTTGGCACTCGGTACATGGCCGATGCTACAAATGCACTTAATGCCATGCTGAACCAGGTGCTGTACTCCGTTGGAACCTGCAGCCGAAAGATACATTGTATTGATTTGTCTTGCTGTTACTAATGCCGCTTGTGACTTTAAGCGTTTGCGTGGAGGACATATCGTCCCAAGATGATTCCGTCGGAAAGCACAGTCCACCGTGGAAGCTCTGGACGTCTTACTCTTTGTGTTCGTCCAGCGGGTCACTGCGAGGCTTTGGTTTCTTGACCCTGGACCAGGGTCGCCGGGTGCTATGTTTGATGGAGAATGAGCAGTTGACACAACAGGCCGGCGGTCAGGAGTTGATTTTGGTCCATGAGGTCGCTGTCAGTCACAGTGTTCATCGCGGATGGGATGGGAGAAAGCACGTCAGCTTCGGAACTCCAAGGAAGCTGAAGGCTGTTCGGGACTCTAGTGCCACTCCGTTCCAGATTCGGCCGCGGGGGAATGCTGTTTCATGAGAGTCTGTCAGAGGAGGCCAACATGTGAACCCAAGGAAGACTTGTGAACAAGTCATAGGAAGACTTTACCTCTCGAACACAGTCGTAGCTTTAACAGGCCAATATGAACCCGAACATGTTCGAGATGCCATCGCTATCACAGGTGCCACTGGTGGGTGTTTGGGTGGACCTCCGTGCTGAGGACCGGGTTGGTCAAAGGGACTTACAGTCTCTCGCTTTGGGTTGACACTTCAAGCCACCTAACATGTGATGTACTGCAATGTGTGGATGTGTGTTTGTTTCAAGTTGAATTCAAGGGGTCATGATCACTTATGTCCCACTGTGACTAGTAATGTTGTTTTTTGCCAGGAGGTTACCAACTTGCCCACCTTAGCAGCGCATCCCGCTGTTTGGGCGGCTGCAGCCCACTTCGTCCATCGGAGGACGGGCATTTTCAATTGGCGCCTTCGGTGGAAGGCCCCTTGTGTTTCATCCATTGCCCCCTCGAGCCCCCTTCATTCCCCCCT